GCACGCCTCTGTAACTGTGCAGCTCTGTCCCATTTCACCCTGTACACACCCTCTCTTTCTCTCCCTCCCCCCTCTCATTCCTCTGGATCTTCCAGATGAGTAGCTTTCTTGGCAGATTCACGGATGTCAAATAATTTATTGTGGCTTTAAACTCAAAGATCAATTGCCTGATGTCTACCTTGGTACTATGTTGATTTTATTCATCTTTGGCATCCCTGCCTGCTGTGGAGTCAAAGGCTTTCTTATCCTGCATGCCTGAAGTGGTAACCTTAGAGATTTAAAACATATATATATTTCTTTTTCAGCACCGTGCAGCCATATTCTCTGCAATGGTCTGCTTATTTCCTTGGGAGGGAATTAGTAGGCTGGAAGGAAGAAAGAGGGTCATGAGATTGACTTTTCATGTCTCAGGCTTCAAGCAGCCATCTCACACTACCCCCTTGGCCACGTGGATTCCTACCCTCCATGTGTGTGCGTGTGTGTGTTGTGTCACTGCCCTTTGGCTATATAATTCATCTAGTAGCTTTTATTAATTCAGTTAAATCCTTGAGGAACGGTGTTGTTCTTTCTGGTAGTCTGATGAACACGTGGCTTAGCTGCTTGTTGTTTTAGTTATTTAATCTACCAACAATTATAGAAAAGCCACGTTAGAAAATTGATGGTTCTTATGTAGTGAATAGTGAGCATACAGGACATGCCATTTTATGCCAGCTTGGGATAGCTAATATTGAAAATGTATAGAAACACGTAATTGCAGATAAAAGCATTTGCATAAGACTACATGTCCATTTTATTGGAGTTTTCAAAAGGCACTTTTTTTTTTTATGCATTTGGATGCTTTTTTCTGCCAAAAGAGAAATTTTCACTTTTTACATGTTAAACAGCAGTGGAAATGTCCTCAAAAGTTTATGCTCAGCCCCACAGGAGGCAAAGATCTGCTGTTTGCTGGAAACTATCTGATGTGATCTACTTTCCTTTGTTCCCTGGGCATGATTTTTTTCTGGAGTTGCAGAGCCCTGGATGTTGGATTTTGTGCATTCTTGTCCAGAGTCCCAAGGTCAGAAGGAGGATGTTGTCCAGCCATCCTTCTGTCGCTGCCAGCTCTCTGCCAAAGGCAGGGTAAAGTGCATAAACACTCACTGTTAACATTCAGCCATGCCGTTGACAGTAGCTGCCTGCACGATACTCTCTGCTCACCTATGGAGTCCCCTGACTTTCCTCTGGCATCAGGAAAAGTGCGACACATTGATTTTTTTAATGGTCTGAGACTCAACTCTCCCAGCCCCCAGAGTAGCCATGGGACCTCGTCACACAGAGCTTGAGAAAGGAAAGCCGTATGTATTCAGCCTTCTGTTTGCTCACACAGAGAGGCACGCATAAGCCAGGAACATAGTAAAAATGCTGATTTTGCAAAGGAGAGGGAAATTATTTTACTGATTAAATATTCATTATGTGCTCGTATATTACAGCAGTAGGTTTATAAATACATGGATGTATTGCTGGCTGGTAGGAGGCTTTGTAGAGGAAACCATTCTCTTCCTTGTGCCATGATCTGACATCTCCATGCACGCAGAGATCTAGACCAGCACGTTTATGATGATGTCCATGGAAAAATTTGCTTTAATTAGTTAAAAATAATAAAGTACAACAATGCATTTTATTTTAATCTGTCTTTAAAACTGAAATACTCAGGTAATTAACAGTCCTGTAGGTTTACTTTATAAAGCTGTAAATGTTTTTACCAGAATACTTGGACTCTTAGGATGACTGGGGCAGTTGTGAATGACCTGGCATCGTAAAAACTCTTCTCTCTTCATGGTATATGTATAGGTTTCACATATTCTTCCTTATCATGTGAGGATGCCTTTTTGAATTCATTCTCTTTGTATCTCACAGAGTTGCCTAACTCCTTGCAGGCACACACGCTCTCAGCCCTCCCCCAGACATCTGTTCTGCTTCTCAGTACCAGGTGCCAGAGTTTGAGCTTGTTGGGAGGAAGGGCAAAGACAAAATCCTCCAAAAAAATTAGATTGCAGTGATATTTTTAACAATATTTGTGGTGGAATTTCATTTTTAACTTCTGTTTTTAAAAAGAACCCAAAAGGCATTAGCTAAAAATACATTTTTTTTTCAGGTTTTATCTAGTCAGGCTTGGGTGGGGGTTGGTTTGTTGTCTGGGAACAGGCTTTTCTTCAAAATTTTTCCCAAAGTGAGCATACTGCTGTAGCATCACAGCAGTAAAAGGCCATGGCAACTGTAAACCTGTATCTGGTCAGGGATTATTTTTCCCACGTGGGAATACATTTCATTAGAAACATAGCTGTGCCTTCATCACTAAATTTTGGTCTACAGGTCTTAAATCCTTTGCTTCTACTTGAAACACATCCATTATGTGAAATCTTCCAAGCATGCCCTAGAGATCTCAGATGGCCAGTATTGCTCCCGTAAAGTCCAGAATGCCGAAATGTATTCTACTGCTTATGTACCAAAGTGCTCCTGTTTGGTTTTGGGTTGTTTGGGTTTTTGTGGTTTTGGTTTTTTTTTTTTTTTTGACAGAGCTGAGCAGAAAATGCTTGGGCTGTCAGAGCCAGAGCATTTCCCTCAGCAAGCAGCAAGGAGCAGGTGAGCACCATGGGACCATTCCCTTCCTTAGTCCGGGAACAACCGCAGTCCCTCACTTGCAGATTTTACTGTGAGTCCTGGTCTAACCTTAAAGAAGCAGAACACAGCCCGATACCTTTCTCTGTCATTTGCTACTGGCTGCCCTGGGACATTTTCCTCTCACCCTCTTGCACGCATGGTGCATCAGAGGCATGGCCAGGCTGCTTCTGTTTTCTGCCTTCTCACCCAGGCACCTTGCTTCTCTTCTGCTTTTTGCTATCTGGATAGGTGATATGTAGTGTAAGCTATAAGCTTAGAAATGTAGAATAAATGGGGTTTATTTCAGTGGCTGTGGTCTGGGTGGTAGAGCATATGGTATGAAATACACTGAGTCCGTGCTGGGTTAGGAAAAATCAGCCCTGGCAATGGCGCAGGTAGGCGGGAGCTGTTCTGTGGTAATGATTAACGAACTTGCTTTTAGGAAGGAGGAGTTTAAATTGCTCTTTCTCCCTCTTCCTTTTCACCCCTCGTCAAGCATGTCTGCCTCTTATTCTTGCAGTCACCAGAGGCACAGAAACTCTCTGTGGTCCTAAGTACTCCTGCAGAGACTTGAGAGAAAACTCTGTATCTTCCAGTGTGTTTCCCAGTGGCAAAAACATTAGGAGTGGCTTGGCTGCTCACAGGCTCAGGCTGAAGCAAGAAGCATCAGCCATCAGAGGAGTGACTTTCTGGGATGGTCTTCAGATAATACACAGAGGGCAAAATATGTAACAAGGGGAAATGACGGTCTGCTGATTTAAACCACATAAAGTGGAGCACTTTTTCCCACACTAATAATTAACCTGTGAGACCAGAACTTTTGGAGACCAGATGTATGGATTCAAGAAGGGATTAGACAAATTCATGGAGGAGTGGTCCACCAATGGCTATTGAAAATACTGGTCCGGATGCAGTCTCCCAGGAGATCCTGAATCGCTGATTGCTGGCTGCTCAGCAAGGCTATCAGGGATGAATCCATACATGTTTCTTGTGCTCTTTCTTTAAGCCTTGCTGTTGACTTCTCTCACGCATAACACGCTCAACTAAGATGGGCTTTACTTTGGTCTAGTATGTCAGTGCTTAGTGGCTCTTAAGATGGAGCTTAAACAGTTGATGAAACAGTCTGCATGATACTACCTCCAGCGTTTTTAGGGGAATGATCTCGGAGGTCTCTCCAGTAGTTTGGTCCCATGTCTGAGCAGTCTCCACAAGGAGACAATAGCCTGCCACCCTGGTGAGACACTGCTGTACGTTCTGAGCCACAAAATGGTCGCCCCGAGGGGTGCTCATTAGCCAGTGCCCAAGCTAGCCAAATTTTTGGCTATTCCAAATAGCCAAGCATTTCCAAGATGCAAAGCTAATAGGGTTGTCATTAATAAGAGGTGGTTACTGAGAGGCATGATGTCTGTTTAAGGGTTTTATGCTCTGGAAGATAGGCCTGAAAAAGACAAAACCGAATAAGGAGTCTCTAAGCCTTTTCTACTATGGAATTTGCCTACCTTTGGCAATATTCCTTCCTGCCCCCATTGTTTTTTGTACTGATAAATGTCCTTGCATTAATAAACTCATAATGCATCTTGTTTATCCCTCAAAGCCAGCCCTTGCAGCTTTCATTAGCATTTTAGGATATTTATGGCTTTGTAAATGACTGAAAATCTGCAATTTGTCATTAGGAATTAAGAAAAATCTTCCTTCTACTTAGGGCTGAAGCTCAGCTTTGGCCTTTGAGGGACTGAGCCACCTCTGGGCCTGGTAGATGAAAACAAAGTCAGACAGTGCCCAGATTTACAGCAGCAAGTGGCTCTTAGTTACTCAGATGTCTTTGATAATGTGTCATCCGTTGTTGCTGGCAAGGATCAGTGTTTAGGCTCAGAATTAATTTCTCTCTAGCTGGAGAGAAAACAAAAATATCTCTTCTGCAAGAGCAAAAAAAAAAAAAAAAAAGAAAAAGGTAGTAACAGGGAGAGAAATTAAAACAGCACCAGGCACATGTAAAAACGCATATATATATATTGCATATACACACATTGCATATAACAGAGAGAAAGTGGTGGTCAGAAGAAAGCATTGTATTTCACTCTGTTGTGCTCTGTACTTTCAGCTTCAAAATACAGGAAGTTAAAAGAATTTTTAAGGTTTCAAAAGGGAGTTTATCTTGTAATTGGTGAAGGGCTAAAGAGTTGGTTGGGGAGGGATAATAATCAAAGGAGCCTTTTCAGCACTAAACTGTAGTCCAGAAAATCAAAGGGAGGAATGTTAATTGGTTTGTACAACATGATATTCTCAGTTCAGAGTAGCTTCAGCCACTCAATGGTACTTTTCTTTTTCTCTCTCTGTCTTCGTAGGTTGATTAAGTGAATAGAAAAAAAAAAAAAGAAAAACGAAGCTGCTTTCAAGTATTGAAGATACAAGGCCAGGATGAACACGAAGGACACAAAAGTGACTGAAGGAGGTCTCAATGTCACGCTTACCATACGCCTTCTCATGCATGGCAAGGTGAAGCATTTACTGTTGCCACAGCAGCTGCCTGTGTATTGAGCGAGTGTGTGCAGTTACCATCAGAGCCTGACAGTGGCATTGGCAGAGGGTCTGCTCCTCCTCCTTCAACTTGAGTCAAAAGCACCATTGCCATGACTGAAAAATCACCCCCCTGCCTTTCAAGGCATCATACTTAAGTTTGCACTGCAGCCCGAGTTCATTGGATCAAACCCTGCCTGTAACGAACCCTTTTTGAGCAGATCCATCGGCAAAAAAAGAGTTCTTTTATTGATAGTTAGCCAAATTAGGCAGACCCTTGCATAAGGCTGACCTGCTTATCGCTCACCTTCCTCATCATTTGCTGGATTTTGCAGGGTTTTTTAAGATGCCAGAACATTGACTTGTGTGAAAGAATTGCCACAGAATTACTGTCTGTTTCTGTTGAATGCAAATGGGATAGTTCTTCATTATTCTGATGTAGCATCTTATTAGAGCGAACCTCCTGATATAGCAAGCATTCGTCCAGGTCCCCTGCGGGTTTGTTTTGGAAGGTTGACTGTCATTTAGTTTCTGTCCAGCGCAGCACTTAAGCATGCAGATAAGTGTGAAATCTGTGCCATAGACAAAGAGCCAATTCAGTATTGTCAGATTTAACAATCTGATAGCCATTTATTTCACATTGCTAGATCACAAAATGGGCTTTTAATTAAAAAACATATTTCATAGGTAGGTTTGTATTATTTGCATCAGGCAACACCAGGCACCTTTAGGCTTAATGAATGAACGTTATATAAAGGAGATGGTTTTGGCTCTTTTTTAACAAAGAACAGTGAATATATATATAATTTTGGAGATCAGATTTGTATATATAAATCTAAAATGTATTTTTACTCCTAGAATTTAATTACTAAAAATACATGTACATTTTAAAACAGTGCATGCTTTCAACCTATGGCATGAACACATATATGATATACCCATAGCACAAATAAGAGGCTAAGGTATCTCCCTCAGTATTTTACTTACAGAGCTGCTATGAAGTATGAGGGGGTACAGTTTAAGTCTGCAAATTAAAAAACTCAGAGGTTAGGCTATGTCAGATCAAATTATGTATTTTCTCAGAAATGATCCAACCATTTTGTTTGATTTTTTTTTTTCCCCCTGAAATATTCAGCTTCAGGCAGGCATCTGGTGTGTAAAATGTGCATCTTAAATAGGGATCTGTCAAACAAATTTAATAATAGTCTCTCTTACCAAACCCACCTAAAAACTGTGCGCATGTCTGCTCTCAAAATTAGGTCTTAGGGGTTGATTCTACCAGATTCTGGTCCCAATCCAGAAAAGCATCCTTATCCTGGTGGGTATAAGTAGCCCTACTGGTTTCAGTCAAATTCCCATGTGCTTAGCTGTGCTTTGCTCTGCTTCTTTCAGAGTCATGCCATCAAAGCGAAAATCAAACATCTGTCATTTTCAGGACATTTTAGTTAAACTGTGGGCTAGGGGTTTTTTGAAACAAAAGATATAGTAATCAGAAATGAAATTAGGAAAAGCTAATTTTCTGTGTTAAACATCAATGACTGTGTGTGCAGCCACTTTTAACGGTAACGGATGTTATGTGTCCAATCTTCAACGCATATGTAGCCCCAAGGGTCTAAATTAAACCCATAAAAGCTACAAAGTTCAAATTTTAAGTGGGAGTATACCATGCATCCTCAGTTAACAAGGCACGATGGGTATACTGTTAACTCCACTATGCTCTAATCATGTATCCTATTGTGCCTAAGTATTGCAAAGAGTACATTAAATCAGAATTTATTTTGGTGATAAAAGTCAGACCCTTATGGTTTCTTTGATGTCATTTCTGTGATTTAGAAATGCTAATATAGAGGAATGAAGGATGCCTGAGTCAATATGAACTCAGTGTGAGAAGGTCACTCTGAAGGCTGTATTTGCCTCTGAAAAAGAAGAAATATGTTTCTAGGCTATTCCTTAAGATTTGTTGTCGTAATGACATCGGTGGAAATTGCTGATCTCTAATTAGTATTTCTAGACAAAACAATTAACTGAAGCAGAGCTTGGACTGTAAATAACTGCTCATAACTTGAAAGAGAAGAGGGGAATTAAAAGGTTGCTTTAAAAAAAACAGTAGCACACTGGATTGAGTTAGATAATTTTAAAGTAAGATTATTTTCAAGTTATTTATTTATTAGTGTGTTTCATGGAAATATGAGGGTCTGTCCCCACTAACCTTAACTCTGCCTCTAAACCTCTATTACCAGTGTACCTTTGCACAGGGAAGGTCTATGTGCTTTGTGATATTTGCATTCATTTTGATTGAAAGTCCGTAACTTCTGCTACTGTGCTTAGTTATCTCGGCTGTAAATCCTGCAGACTTAGGAAATTTTCAGCGTGTACTTTTCATGTGATTTGTATAGGGGCTTTAAGTCAAGGATGGACATCTTAATTATGCAATTAAGCTAAATTCTGTACCCACAGACAGAAAAATCAGGATTTGTATGAATGAACAGACCTGTGCGAGAGGGTAGGGAATAAAAGAACATCTTTAACAGCAACAAAAAAAGCAGGTAGCTAAAATCAAAGACAACATTAGTGTCTGGTGAAAGGAAAACAGATGGGAACAGTCCTGAGCTCCTCGAGAACCCAGGACCAGTGCCTCCCCGCAGGTAGAACACCTCTCATCAGCTTCTTTGCTTTTTCTTGCTTTGGGGACAGAAGCGGCTGCAGGTCCAGCTGAGCTCCTGCAGGGCTTTGTGCAGCCTCATACTGAAGAGGCTGGGATGGCTGCTTGGAGGACCAGCTCAGCCGCTCCTCTGCAACGTAGCAAGATTTGGGAGCAGATGGCTGGCAATGAGGCAAGGCACAGCCTTGATTTTCTTAGGGCAGAAAATGTGATGTTAGGGGCGGGCAACAATTTTTTTATCTGTGGAAGCAGCAAGAAGGCTTGTGCGGGCCCAGCAAAAAGCTAACCACTGTAAGGTATAAACCTCAGGGTAAATGTTTCCAGGGCTTGACATGAAAGGTGTCATCCTGAGCCAGGACTTCAGAGGGTGTGTGATCGTGTAAGATGAAAGGCCTAATTTTCATCTTGCCCCATGTTACATCAGTAAAAAAGTTATGATAGTGCGACAGCCCTGAAGAGAAACCAGAAGCAATACAAAACATTTCTCATACTTTCTTGCAATGAATTAGAGGGCAGGTGTTAGGGAGTACACTACAAGGGCAGTGCTCAGATGTTCTTCACATCCACAGAGAATCAACTGTCTCTATTTGCAGGGAATTTTAAAAGCAAGATTAGGAAAAACTTCTTATGCAGACGTGTGAGGAGGGGAGGAGGCTGCCCGGGCATGCCACAGCATCCATCACTGGAGGTTTTTAAGGACAAGTTAGACATAAATGAATACATCCCGTAAAGATGCCATGGCCCTGCAGCCTCTGCTGCCCGGGACCTTTTTGACTGAGTTACCTGAATGTTGCTCTGAAGAGGGCAGGAACTGAAGACCCTTTTGAAGCGTGTGCAGGAGTTGGATATATGGAGTATATTAAATAATGCAGAGATGCATTTTCATCTTTTATTAATGAGAAAGATGAACCACATTAAGGCATAGAGCTGTTTCATGCATTTCAGTAGAGAAGACAGGGAATACGGGCTGGGGCTGTTTGCATTGCCCTACTTGTGTATTTGCCATCTAATCCCTGCTGTTTCTTGAAGTAAAATAAGTAAAATCACTGTGTAGGGCAGAGATGTGAATGGGTACGGATATTCTAATACCTTTGTCTGCTTTAAAAGTAGAATTTCTAGGTAGGATTAGAATATTGCGGTGATTGCAAGATTTCTGCTTCCAGCAAAGGCAAAAATGGCAGCATTTACCCAGATCAGATCAAATTTTTGAAGGACTTATGAAACACAAATTGAGTGTGTGTGTGTACTTGTGGGTAAACAGTCCCCAGCTATCAGAGCCCTCTGTAAGGAGAGGCAGAGCTCAGGCTGCGAAAGAAATGTACCTTTTGCTTTTTCTTACTTTTTTAGTTTTTGTCAAAATCAAGCTTCTTTTGGCTATCTGCATGTTATAGGGTCTTTGATGGAGCTCGATGTTTCTCTCTTATCATTCCTTGCTCACTTTTTGCTGAGTTTTTTATTCCCATGACTTGTGGCTGGGTTTGTTTTTTTTTTCTTGTTTACTGCCACGGGTAATGAGGTTAGAAGATTATGGAAAATCGTAGCCTTGCCCACAGGTCTCTGCCAACAGATCTTAGTACTTGACATCTGCAATGCTCTTGTTCCAGTTTTGGTCAGTTCATACCCAGAAAGAAATAACTCTTGAAAGAGCACCTACTTTGACTGTACTGGATAATGATTACATGATTTTGGACTGGTTTGGATTTGTACACAGCCAGTGTTAACAGGCTGATTAAGACCCTAGAGACTCACCATTAAAGGTTAATTTTAAATGTGGATGGTAAAGAGACTATGCTGGTAGAAAGATGTTAAATTTCAGGAAAGCAGCTTAATGGAGATTTAAAAGCTGGATCCATGAGGTGGAACAGGAGAAAATATTCAAATGTGCCAGCACGGAAAGGAGAGCACGGTCACAAATCCACTTTGGTCTCCATCTCGTAGTGGTGGTGCAGGAGTCTCTGCTTCCTCCCTCCAGTACAAACCTGCAGAAGAAAAAAATGCATTGTTTCCAAATGCACTGAGTGAAGGTGTACATCGAGGAAACCATATTGGGTGCAGTGAAGTCTGCAAGAAACCAAAGTAGAATTTATTAAATATTGAGTCTGAGGAACCTTTCAGAGAAAGGGGAAGGAGTTCAGAAATAGAAAACGAAATGGATTAATAAAGTCAGATGGTTAGGAAGATCAAGGAAATAATTTGCAGGTAGAATGAAGGAGGCAAGGGAAAAGTGGCAGGGAAGTAGGACTCTTGCCAAATACTCAGAGGTGTAAATTGGAGAGTTGAGGCAATTAACTGGAGAAGGTAATTTAGAAGATATGTG